CAGCATGACCCCCCGATCGAAATATTATAACCGCAATATTTCAAGCGTAATAAACAAATTCAGCAAAACGGCTCAAGTAATAAAAATATGTTACTCTTTTTCATTGGAATATAAATTCGTAATTTTGCGTTTATTATACAAATTAAAGGTATATGCAATCGAATAAAATTTTCATTATCAGGTCCAGGATTATTATCGGATTTATGCACAATATATATACGATATACTTATATAAATCTGCGGAGGTCATCCACCGAAACTGTGCCGTGTATATGCCTCGGCCATTTTTTATACGCGGCTATTCGCGAAAATGAATGAAGAACGAGATCGCGGAACGTTGGATGCAACGCGCGAGAATTGCAATCGGTGTCGACTCATTCCCTTGCCGCGCTCTCGCGAAGACAAGATACTCCGTCACTGGTAACCGAGATATGTGGAGAGGTACATATCGCGGTTGTATACGGATTTCAATTTACCGATCCGCGGGTTAGATCGACACGCGTATATACCGGACGCCGATATCGATTTTGTCCACTCGGTCGAGTTCCTACCTGAAAACCGGGCACAACACACACACACACACACACACACACACACATACACGTCATACGGGCACGGAGGCATAAATATAAAATTTCAGAGGGCATTCCATTTCGCCGGTGTGGTCGAAAAGCTCTCCCGCGCGTTTCTCGCCCCTTTCTCTATTCCACCGCCATTCTCCGGCATGGAAAATCTTTTGTTGTGCTAGATTGACCGAGTGCTCTCGCTCGCGTGTCTCGATTTATCCGGCCCTCGCCGGCCCAGAAGAAGCTTCGTTAACGCGTCACCGCCACTTTTAATTGCTCTTTAAACCCCGCCGTGGCCGTTCGGAGCCGAAGGAAGAAAATCGAAGCCGTTTTTAAAGCGACGAAATTAATTGAGTGGCGATACAGACAAGGAGGAGTTACAGCGACGTATAGACTTGAAAAATTGATTATTGTTGCAAGCTGCGGATCTAAAAATTAAACGGTCTGAAAAATGGTTTAACAATATTATAAAAAGACCAACCGGAGGAAAAAAATAGATCGAAGAAAAAAAAATTCGTTTATAAACGTTCGAAACTCCAGACGGCAAAAGGCTCGAGTTGTATATCCGCTGCTTTTTTTTTCCAGCTCCGCGCGGTTCTCCCTTCATCCTCCTCTCGCTCGATAGTGCTCCATCATAGTGGGTGCGACTGGTGCGAACTGTGATTACGGGTTTTGGAGTTTCGCTCGTGGATTTTACAGCCCTATAGCGCGACTCGCGGGAATCGCACCCCTCGCCCAGGGGCGCTGCGTCGCGTACTCGACCTTCGGGAGTCCTTCTCTCTCGCCCTTCCCGCCGCCCCCTCCTCCTCTTCGTCCTCCGTTTCGTCTCACCGTCCGCCGCTCGTTGAGCCCCGAGAAGCGACGCAACGCGCGGCATACGAATCGCGTGCAAATAAATAAATGCTCGGGGGGGATGGGCCGCCGACGTTAAAACGGCGATTGGAGGGGAGTAGATGAATGCGAAAGAGGGTGGCTGACGAATTTTGGGACCCCCGCGCCTACACCGTCGTATCGATCTCCATTTCGCTGAACGGCACCTGTACCACCACCGTCCTTGAGTGCGTCGATGATTTTTTCTCACCGCACATGATCAATCTCTCCTTTGACCCTCCAATTATTTCTGTTTGCCATGAATGATGCAAAATAAACAGGCCGGGCGGATGGCCCCGGTTAATCCCGCCGGTATGTCCGTTTTGTCGTACATATGGTAAAAGGTACGGATTTCGGTGTTTTGCGTTTGTAAAACGTTTATTGTTTTAATGTAATACATTCTCTCTCTCTCTCTCTCTCTCCATTTTTTCTTTTTTTTTTGCGAATACTCTATATTTGCATTTTGTTAACACGAAATCCGGAAATACAAATTGACAAATCGTTCAATGCACCTTATTGACCCTATAAAGTCAGGGTCAATCCTCTCGCGGAATTATTTGGAAAAAAGAATTAAAGAATAAATTCGAACGAAACGACAGGATTGATTATGGTTGATTTTTTTGCGGCAAGTGCAAGAAAAGACGCATGAGACCTTCGCGTTGTGTATGCGTGCACAATCTAAAAAATATTGGTGTAAAATTTCACCACACTTATGTGGTTAACCTGTTTCGATGTGGATTTTAACAATTATTGGAAATTTTTTACACCGACAAACGCGGTGTTAAATTATGATGCGATACTATTTGCTTTTACATGGAAAGAACGATTTTGTTGAAAGGTCTAAAAATTTTGCTAAAAACATATCTGAAAATAATTTTTTATTGAATCATCAAAATAATTTGTTGGGATGTTAAAACTGATAAGCATTGCTAAAAACGTTTTGATATTCCAGCAATTAGTTTGACTTTCGTACAAAATTATTTTGATTATTGAACAAAAATTATTTTCAGATTTGGATTCATCAAAATTGTTCTTTCGTGTACAATATACGGTATAATGGCGCATCACGTAGCTACACAGAACCAATCGCCATAATGTAAAGATTCGATTTTTCTGTGTATAGAAATTGACACCGCAACAAGGTGAATTTTTTACACAAATCAGTATTAATTTCACATCAACATGGTAAGAATAATATAGAAACGCCCGTGTAAATGTTAAAATCCACGCCACTAGTGTCAAAATGACACCGATATTTTTTAGAGCATTGACCTCCTCTCGTTTACTTTTATATAAAAGCCTGTTTAAACCCATTCATTAAGAGACGCGGAAATTCTGTTTCCTTTGAACAAAGAGGAGGAGCGCTATGTTTGTGCAAACCGTCGAATAAAACCTCGAAAACTTGACGTGTCAACGACCATTCGCGCGCGCGGAAACGCTCGTGCGAGAAGATGCAGGGATACTTTAAAAGGGCAATCTCAACATTCGACGCGGGGGCGGGAGGGCGAAGAGGAGGAGGATTCATTCGCGCCTTGTTATTGCAAACAGCTAGTCAAAATTTGCGTTAGCCGGCAGAGCTTCATTCTTGATGGACTCGCTATTTACCCCACGGTCGGTAAACCATTCAACCAACATTTAACCGCCTCTCCCCCTGCAGAGCTAAAAAAAACTCCCTCCAATTAGACGAATCAACATCGTGAGTCAACTTTGGGAAACGATAACAGTCTTGTCTCGTTACCGGGACTCCCAGGCTAAAATTCCCTTTGTTAACGCCGCGAATCCTTACGAAAATATTTCCCCGCGTTAAATTACCTTCACACCGCGCGCCAAGTCTCACGTCCGCGTCCGCCTCTTAATTACGCTCGCCATTGCCTAATTAAAGGCGTTAAACGACGTCGCGGTTATTCGATACGTCTTCACGCGACGTTTAATTCTCTTCTACATTTCTTTCACTTGGAAACCGTACCTATATTGTTTGGGAATTGCGCAGTGTTATCTTCGCATAAGAGTTATTAATAAATACAAGTAAATTATGGACGGGGAATTTACGCCGCTAATTATTGCGTAAATCAAAATTATGAGACTATTAGTTTTAGCGATCTGGTTAACGCTGCTTTATACATAAAGGGAGTTCGGGGGCAGTATCTGATAGCATATTAACGAAGAATACCTCTGCAAGAGCGAAATCGGTGCGGTTCTGTAATAAAGTTAAGCTATTAAATTAATCTCTGATGTAAATTACATCGGACATGTATGGAATGGTAATTCGAATCGCGGTGAGATGAAGACATTACGGTATTTCGAAGAAACGACTAGATTGCTGCCAGATTAACAGAGATTGCATGTATAGCGAAATTTCCTCTTGTTGAATACATAAAATCATAATTATTCGATTAGCTTCCCATTTAAGTTCGTACATAATTAATGAGATATGACTTATTAACGTGTTATACATATAATATACGTATAGCGATATAAAATAATAATATAATTAATATATATAAATATGGATAATTACACAAACGCGTGCATGCGCGCAAAACACACAAAACACACACACACACACACACGCAACTTAATATAAAACACGATTGACAATATCGAATTTATCGTTTGAAAAATATGACGCGTCTCATTCGGAAAACGATATACGTATTGCACACGAAGGAAAGCAAGGTTACAGATCCATCATTTTTGTTTCACGTAATTTTCACCTCATGTTTGGTTCAGGCATCATCTTGTATCGCGCGTCCGCTCGTTCCCCGAAAATGGATTCCTATTCCGCCTCGTCGGGCTCAAAAATACGCCCCGCCGTTCCCCCCGTTTTCTCCGCTCGTTTTCAGTAGCCGGACCTACGCACGGGGGAGACGAACGAGGCACAAGGGACTCCTCCGGATTTCGATTATCGTCGATAACTCGGCTGGATGTATCCCTTCCATACTAGCAGTAGTTTCCGGAAATTCGCCTCGCCCTCGGGATTATCCCGCCCCGGGAATTCCCATCTCGCCACCGACGTTGTGTGTTCCCGCCGATCCCTCTTTTCTTTCTCTCCGCCCCACACATCTATCCCGAATTTCTCTTCTCTCTCTCTCTCCCCCTCTTATCCCCTATCTCTTGTCCCCTTCCTCCCCGTTTTCGGTCTCGCGTTCGATTTGTCCTGAATTACTTCATTGGGTATATTACATCCCTCCGTTTCTTCTTCGTACGGCGCGTAACATGCCGACCAGATATATTCCAGTCCACAAGCATATAAGATATTAAGTGAGAATTTCAGAAACGAACGTTACCTTACGTCATATTACATTGAATACCTGTTGATTTTCTCGCGAACACTCGTAGACTTCTCGTCAAAAAGATTAAAATTACTCGATTTTTCAGTAATTACAGTAATTACATTTTTAGATTTAAATTTTTAAATTTACGCTTTTGATTCAATGTAGATTTTGACGAAGTGAATGATGATAATAAAAATCTTATGTAGCGCACATTATAGTATATATAGTAGGTACATTAAACGCGATGTGAAACAATTTATAAACCTTGAACTACTTTTTATCGTTTCAGAATGCTTGTTTCCCACGAAGTGGGAAGGCGCGTGGTTCCAAAGTGGCGTGAGGCAATCAATATTAATATCCAAGAACGAATTATCCACCAAGGGCAGGTGTCTGCACAACGAAGGTGACAAGTATCTTCTGGTAGATCAGTAAGTAATCCGATTTCTCTTTTTTTTTCCTATTTCACACAGTTGCGTGCAATCGTTATAAGGCACTCGAAACAAAATCCATTATTTTAGAAACGGAGTATTTTATTTGTAACTGATGTTCTATTTATCGTCTCATCTTCAGATGAAAAACTGTACAAATAGAATAAGTCATTCTTTTTTTTATTTCGAAAAGCAAATAAAATTAGGTAGATCTCTATTGCTAGAAGCACAATTGAAAGTGTTTTTTGTCTCTGGATAAACATTTTTAGATCGTTATCTCCTCATTGTCGAATTAAATTATACTAAATAATCGAAAGCAATAAAAGAGCGATATTTTTCGAATTAATTCAATATTGGCTTCTTCGACTATCGTAACAAAATAGAAGAGCTATCGATATGATTTATTTACTCGTATAACATGTTTATTTTAATCTCTTTGTGTGCTGCGAGCAATTGTAGCGAGGAAATTTCTACTGTGAAAATTTCCATAGTGCTGTATCTATGCAGGATTCAGATAACATGTACAGTTCACGTGTCGTAAGCGATCAAAGCCTTAGTTACTAAAGCTAATATGGCGAAATCAGTCGACCGAATAACCTGGATTCTCTCTTTGTTTTTTTTTTCTCTCGAGTGGCGATTTAATTCCGTGAAATTGGCGATATCGTTTTGAAAACGTGCAGCTATATACTTCGAAACTTTTTTAGTTACAAGAAACTTGATGCTTTACATGATGCATGAAGGTAAACCTGTCAACGGCTTGAAACTCTTTCGTTTAAAATTAAGTAACGCTTATCTATAAAATAAACTACCTCAAAACATAAAAATTTTGACATGTGGCCCGTGTCGCCTGACAACGGTACGGTTTTTTTTACTGACAGAGAATGCAAATCTTTCCTCTCGAAAAGGAGTAGAAAAGACCGGGACACGTAATGAGTCTAATGAAGCCTCGGCGGAAGCCGAGCTTCTGTTTCGCCGTGTAATGCTCGTGTCACACGAGCCGACTCTCTCCAAGTTTTTACGAAGATCGCTATCGGACTCGCCCCGTGCAAGGTGTCCGGGATCGATATACCGTCAAACGATATGAAAAAAAAGTTGAAAAAGAAACGCGCCGCGAGACACGATAGCGAAAATTCAAACGTCACTGCATCCCTTTAATGTAACAAAATTATACGGAGTCAAAATACAATAAAATAAGGTTTGACGTAAACGTTCTTCATAAATTGCATTAATTGTATATAATATATTATATATACCTATTATACAATATATACATAATATATCAGTAACGAAAATCAGAGATACATTATTTCAAATTTATTATAACAATGACTTTTTCTATTTAATTTGAAGGAGAAGTAGTATTGGATTGAAAGTGTAATTTTCAAACTTTGTTTATATTTTTAATAATTAACTTTAGGCATGGGCGCATCCAGGGAGGGGAGGAGGGGAGGAAGGTTTAAACCCTCCCTCTCCAAAAAATATTGAATAAAACAATTCATTAATGCAAAAAAATGCTATTTTTATTCATTAAATTAAGAGAATTGATAAATCCCCTCCCCGCCCCGATAAAAATCCTGATATAAGTATACACACTGGGGTTAGCCCAACGCAAATTGCTAAATTGAGATTTTTTCGCGTACTGGACTTCTCTTTTTAACCGTTCGTCTCGGAGCTCTTTAATTCTATTCGACTTTTATAAATTATGAATCTGTTTTTTGATCGATTCTCAATTGATTAAAAAAAAAACAAGTGAAATATGTCCACATTTGTTGGAGTTATGATAACAAATATGGATGGGGGTCCTGGGGACTTCAATGTGTACTTTAGGCAAAAAAGGAATGTGTATATACCTAGAGTTCAAAATGTGAGCAAAGTTTATTCAGATCGTTTTATTTTGTATGTCCATTTCAACGTAAGAATGAAATCGAATATATTAGAATAACATTCTCAAACAGCATGAAGAAAAACAAATTAAGATCTCGTTCAGACCTCTTCAATTCTTTTTCTGTTTCAGGAAATCATGCTATCGTTGCGTCGTCATTCACGAGAAGCATTCCAACGTTCTGCAGTACAAAGAGAGTAAGTATACGAAAAAGTGTGAAAATAAGTATACGCGAAGTGCGCGACACGGTGTCGTTATTTTTCTCCGGATCGATAACGATTTGCCCCGGTGGTCCTTGAAGAGCTTCGTTCGTTCATTACGGATGCCGATCGTTAATTAAAAGCTCGACGTGATGACGGCGGGCAGAAGGAAGAGAGAGAGAGAGAGAGAGAGAGAGAGAGAGAGAGAGAGAATGCCGAGTGAGTCGTAGCGCCTGGAAATTATTCTTGAACGGGGAAACTTAACGATTTTCCGCGCCGCCGTTGTGAAGAACGACGGGCGCGACGAGCGCGAGACATTAGAAGAGCCGTTACGAAAACGGTTTCGCTAATTCCACCCTCCCCTCCCCTTCCCCACGACTACCACTCGTTTACTTGTACAAAGGCGATCGGGAGAGCACATCGCCCTTTCTCTCTCTCTCTCCCTCTCTCTCTCTCACCTCATCCGCCTTATACGGATATTCGTTTTCTATCTATCTTGTTTAATACGTTCATCCGAGCAGGGAGAGAGCGAACTCTCGTCGAAACACGATAATAATTCCTAACGAAACGCTACCGTATTTCACACTCCGCACGTTCGCGGATTAAAGTGTGCTGCGCGCGTTCCGGTTTCCGGGCTAGTACTCCCGTTAGTAACGCTAATGTAAATCTTCACTGTAGATTTCTAGATGTTAAACAGTTGAATAATTGTTCGGCTTGATCTAATTGAAAAAAAAAACACTGGCAACTGTTCCTCCTTCGAGTTACAATCAATTTCCGCGTTTCCGTATAAATTCTCAAAACTAATTAATCCTTCATTCTAATATCATACATTATACGGATTGTTCTTTCCACGGAAAGAACGGTTTTGCAAAATTTTCTAAGAATTTAGCTAAAACTTAGCTACAGATCTGATAATTTTGTTTGTGGGACAATCGAAATAATTATGTAGGATGTTATGTGGGATAATATTGCAAAAACGGCAAAAAGTTTCGACATTTTAACAGCCAGCCTGAGCGTCCTACATATATAATTAATCCTACATAAATTATTAATGGTCTAACTAAATTATTTTCAGATCTGTATATTTAACTAAATTATTTAATTATTTTAATTAATTTTTTGGTCCAACAAAATTATTTTTAAATTTGTATGTAGCTAAATTTTTGGACATTTCAGCAAAAAATTATTCTTTCTGCGTAGAAAAAGTGCGTAAATGCCTACTCAAAAATGTAATTTATTCAACTTTTTTAAAGTTTCTACGCCGGTCCTTGAATTTTTTTTCTCATTACGCTTAAATCGAGATAATCGAGAAATTGCGATATAAATATATAAATATAAAAACTCGATGATGTATATTACAAAGAAGAAAATTTGTAACGTGCGCGAAAAGAATTATTTGTTTCGAGAAATCGCAATTACGCGGATACACGTCGCGAGTTATAGAACTTTCTCGGAGATCTCGCTCGAGGTAGAGTCGACTAGTTAGTCGGCGCAACTATTTCGAACAATCTAGAAATGTATTTCCCCCGGCAGTTTTATCGATTATCGAGCGCGACGATACGAGCACCAAGAAGTAGCCCGAAGTTTCGCCCACCGGATGCGCGATAGGGAGCGCGCGGGGCTACTATCCCGACTGCCTAGCTGCCTGCCGTCCCGACCCGACTCGCTCGAGCTCGGGCTCGAGCGGGACGAAGAAAAAAGCGTAGGTCAACATGTACGGGCGGAAAAAGCGCGACAGCGTCCGCGCTGTGGATCCGCCTCCTACGTCTCGCGTCGGCATTTTTCGACGATTTGTCAAAGTCTCCCTCGCCCCCCTCTCGCTCTCTCTCTCCCTCCCTCTCCCGTTTTTCTTCTCTCTCTCTCTCTCTCTCTTTCTCTCTCTCTCCCTCGTCGTTTTATCGGGCTTTAATCTGCATAGTGTCACGCCGCGGGCACCGTCGCTTTTCACAGACTGCCTTCGTTGAGCACAGTTTGTCGCCGGGAAAAATGGGAGACAGAGAGAGAGAGAGAGAGAGAGAAAGAGAGAGAGAGAGAGAGAGCCGGAGACGAAACGCGCGCCGCGCTACCCCTATCCTAACCCCGGCGCGAATCCAGGCAACTCCGCTTGGCGAAACGTCAAAGCGCGGACGAATGAAACGTCGAAGCGAACGCAATATTTTCGCATATACGACGTACGTACATATACTTTATTAAAGAAACGCGAAAGTTCGCCACGTGCGCGGCGCCGATCGGAGGAGCCGGAGACTCCGCGAATCTTCTTCGCTGTATACGTTCTGGATGGATATTAGGATTTTTTTCATTCAATAAGTGCGACGTGTTCAATCGAATAAATGGCACACCTAACGTGCCATTAATTCGATACGCCCGAGTATTTTATTTTGGCAGCAACATCTGCCGTAAAATATTTTCACCAAAAACTTGGCGTACACGTAAAATTTCGCCAATTCCGAACACGACGACGCTCGTGCAAGAAGAAACAGCCCCAGCCTGAAAATATTGAAATTATGAGAGAAGGCTTTAGGCGATCTCCGAAAGCTCCGGGATGCCGCTCCCGATAAAGAGGTAGACCGAAGACAAAAGTCTTTTGCTCGATTTTTCGCCGGCCGCGCGGGTAACACCTGCGTGCGGAAAAGTTAAGTCTCTTTTGCGAAGCGAAGTCTTTCGCGGAAGCCCCCCCTCCCCTCCCCACTTCGCCGTCGCCGCCGCTTTTCCCGCGCCCGGCCGCGGGGAGAGAAATCGGAGGGAAATATCCTCGGTTAAACTTCCACCGCGGGTATGAACTTGCTACTCAGGGAAGATTCGTCATCGTCCAACTCGACCCGCTTCTTCCGCTCCTTCCGCCGTCCACCCCTTCCCCGCGTCACCGGCGATATAAGAACTTTCCGTTACCCGGCAAAATTTTTTATTAACGTCGTGATTCTCCGAAGGGGAGGGGGGAGGAGATAGTCTCCGCGGGAAAAAAGAGAGATGTAACTGCGATTATCCGTTGGTTTCGTTCGAAAAATGATACACCGCCCGCGGAGAAACTTTTGCGAGGGGCGAAGTGAGGCAAGTAATAGGGGCGGCTTGTAGAGGCTTTTATTCACTTTACGCACCGTACAAGTGATACGTTATCATCAAGTGATACGAAATCCGATAACAGCAATATTGCGTTCGACAAAATTGGAGTTTTCACGATGTTACGGGACTCCTAATCGTAACCTCTCTCGAGTGATCGTAACAGTATCCTATCTGTAAAATTCTCTCTCTCTCTCTCTTTTTCTCTCTCTCTCTACACCGGAATCTAAAAGTTTAGCTAGGTACAGCTCTGAAAAAATAATTCTGTTGGATTATCAAAGTAATTAGGACGCTCAAGCTTGTTAGAATGTCAAAAACTTTTTGCAACATTGTTTATCATGCTCGAGTTTTTTCTGTATAATTATTTTAATGATGGTCTAACAAAATTGTTTTCAGATATGTATCCACCTAATTTTTTATATACTTCAGTAAAATCCTTCTTTCCGTGTTATGGACTTTGCCGAATATAATTGCAGTAGAAACACAAGCTCCTATAATATGTCAATTTAGATGCACAATGGAAGGGCTTGCTGCAACAGCGGAACTGAAACTCAAATTTTGTAACAACGAAGAAAATGTACTCGAAAGTTGTAAATGTACTTGAAAGTGAAGTGATGAACTTTAAAAGTTCATTTTCTTCGTTTTTTTTTTTATAAAATGTTACGAAATGTGGGTTACTTCGCCGTTGCAGCAAACTCTTCAATCCTTTTCGTCGTAAAAAGTAACATTGCCTTCTTTTCTCCATGTTGAGCCACGCGGAGAAAATGATATTATAAAATAATTGAATTTGTATTAATTACTCTCGTGGTACTCTGCGATATCTGTCTCCCGATATGGAAAATTATGACTTATACCACCGTCACGCCTGCGTTTAACACGAGCCCGGTACGAAATGAACGCGCGCTAAATATATTTAACGTATCTCTCATTTATAACACATAAATTTTCGGGTCTTTTCATTGAATTATTTAACGTATACCTACTTCTGTCACTCTCTCAACGCCGCGGCGGTTTTAATACATGATGTCACATTTCCGTACAACGGAATACATTTTGGGGAAAATTTGGGTCGCAGATTTATGAAACGCCGCGGCGCGGCGGCCGGATATAAGATTTATTATTAATGCAGGCATATGTTGTTGTATGCGCGCGCGCGCGCGTACGAGATAACGGGGGCCGGTAACGCGCGTTTAATCTCAATTAATTTTCTCTTGCAGCTTTTTGCCACAGTAAAAACTCACTGGCGTCTCTCTGCTCGTATATTACGGGCGATGCGCTGCTGTACTCCATGTTCCGCGAGGAGGCGCTCCCCGTGGCGTGCCCCTTTCGCGGCCCCATGACCTTTTCCTACAACCGTGGCCACGGCACGTGCTCGAATCCGCCGAGCAACGTCGACACCTGCACGGACGACAGCAGACTCCTCTTCAAGTACCAGGCCTGCCCGGACGTGCCCGCTTCGGAGAGCGCAGGTAAGATAAACCCTTCGTTTATCGGAAACTCTTGTCCGTGTTTTGTAAAAAAAAAGAAAAAAAGACGGCTGTGCATGTGCCGGATCAGGAATACCGGAATTCCTGACTCACGGCGCCCAAAAAATAAGCCGCAAATTATTATTCGGTCTCTCCAGCGGCAGAAAAAAGATGAATGCTGGATGAGCAAAAACTTTTTTTCTTTTTCTCTTCTCGTCGCGCACTTTTTTTCACCTATATGTATTCTTTGACAAATCTGGCGTGCATTTCGTATAAAAAAAATATTACCCATAGCTTTTTCGCTATGTATTCAATATCACTATAAAGATTAAAAATCTCTGTTTTTGTTTCATGAATAAGCTTCGCACTTTCATACCGCTGAAACGTGTGTGTATATGTACACGTACATTTTTTTTGTAAAATTCATTCGAGTTATTTACAACGCGTATGCACACACACCTTGCAACACGCAGTCAGGATGCTCCTCAAAGCACTTGTTCCCTCACAAGAATTATGCAAGCGCGATGGATAATCGTATTATTACAAATTATGTAAATACAGGTTTTTATAATCCTTGCGGTTCTTTGGCAAGCGCGTGTGGCGCGCTTTACATAATTTGTAGTAACAAATATTACGACGTGAAATTCTAATTTCGTTTTACGCAGAAAAGATTCTACATCTTCATGTTGCTAACATCGTAACTTTAATTTTCCATACATTTATCTTTAAAAATTACAATTCGTGAAAGACCCGTTAGTTAAAATTCGAGAAAATCTTCGTCCAACGTACACATCCACTGGGTTAATCGGTACGTAATTCCAATAGCGTAACTTATTGGTGCGCGATTGATATCTCATACGCGACTCACTTCAGCGACTGCTCCGCGGATGGAGAACCGGGCCATCATCGGGTTTGTATATCTTGCGCGCTTCAATTAAATGCTCGTTATTCGATGGATTTGCATTTAATAGCGCGGCACAGCGAGATTAAATTTGTAGTCAATACGGGGGGGGGGGGGGAGGTTTACACGTCTATTTTTGACCGACGTGTGTTCAATTTAATATATTGCGGTATAATTGATATATACCCTCCCCCGATAATCCGTTTCGGAGTAACCGGTAGCGTTGTCAATTATAGCCAAGTTACATTGCGAAATGCGTGGGCAGCGTCTAAATATTCATCAACCCTTCCCGCCCCCTCCTTCCCCGTCGCGATTCTGGACCGCTATTAGGACCGCTATCGCCGCCAGATGGAGAAGGGGATGGGGAAGGGGGAAGGTGGAGGATAATAGGATAGAATATTCATTTCTCTCCCCCGCGCGTGAATGTCCTTTCGGTTTAATAATTTACCACGAAAGCTAACAAGATACTTTTGCGCTCGCGATCGCACTCGTTTTGAACTGCCTCTCGGGAGTTCGACGGGATTCGAGGTTTATCCGTATAAAATCGTATGTTTTACAAAGCGATTTGCGCTTATACATACGGCCGCGGCGGTATGTATTTCGGGTAAAATCCATCCGTCGATGTACGCGCATGGCTTTCGTTTACATCATAGCTTCTATTTTACCGCAGAATCACGAAATGCCAAATATTTTGCTGCATAACAAAAAAATTCCAACGGAATTTTTTGCCCGTTTTTGCCGCGAAGAGACGCGGACTGCAGGTTGTACAGCTCTCATCATTAATGTTAATCAAAGAGATGTGTTGTAATCCATTACCCTTATACGTCGCGAGAAAACTCGATGCCGCGGCTTGGAGAAACGTGTCGTGATTTTATTGTAACTTTGAAATATATCTGCATACATGTATATATTCCTGATAACAGGAACGGATTAAAAGAGTCCGCGCGCACGTCATGTAAATACAGCGAACGATGGTGAATGAAAGAACCGGACTGGCGTCCGTGTGCGGCTTTTATACCTGGCATTTTCTTCTATTTTCCTCATCGCGTTTGATCGGATTTACTTTCGATGCGCTTTGGTCCCGGCGTTTTCAAACACCCACCAAAATGGAAACGGTTTCGTTCGGAAATCTAACCGACGAATTGTACCTTTAACGAGCACTTTGCGGTGAAAAAAAAAGGGAAGGCGATTGCGAATCGGTCAGGCGGCAGATTTTTCAGAATTAAATCGACGCAGGGGGTATTACGGTTCTTTTATCCCGAATCCCGCTATTCACGCGCAAAGGGACGGTTGTCAACGCCTTCCGTTTTCCCAACTTCGACAACCTGTTGAGAAACCGATTCACACTGATAGAGCACGATGTATCGTCACGAATTGATAAATTGATGAATTTTTATCCACTCGTTTGAAAATTTTTGTAATTCGTTGTAGGGATTTAAGCGTTCCGCGTAGAGAAAAAGATATATATATATCTTTATATATATATAAAAGATATATATACATATATATATATATATATATATATATATATCTATATGTATATATATCTTTTTCTCTACGCGGAACGCTTAAATCCCTACAACGAATTACATATACAATATATATATATCGCTTTTTATCGTTCAACTGGTGTTCCCGAATTTCGTGACACGTAATATTTTTAACTAACGCACAAACACGCACCTCTGTGCACCTCTGTCGAGTCGATTTGATTAAAAAAAAAGAGAGAAGGGCAAAACGCATACATGTATAATCACTGAAATTCTGTAGCGCAGCGGCAATGTTGTTTTATCAATTAGTTTTCTGAAAATTCAACATTTAAGAACCTATTGCTATTGTTTTTGGTGCTTTCAATAAATCACACTCTTGTTTCAAAAGTGACTAAAAAAAAGATTAAGTTTTCAGATTTTTGATGATTGATAGAATAATATTTTCCTAACTCTTATTCACGGTAATAATTCAAAAATTACGGTTTCTTTAGTTGTGTCACTTTAAAATGCTAAATGGTTACAAATAGTTTGCAATTTTACCACTATTTTAGTCGACTACCTATTCGTCCTTCAATGTCCTATTTATCCGCCCGTAAAAAAAACACTCGCGTTCAGGAAAGCCGAAAAATCCGAGTCTTCGAAGACGCGAAGGAAAACGAACGAGGACTGAGGTAAAAGCACACCTGGAGTAAAATCCGGGAACAGATCTTTTTTCCAAGCGTTACCTCTCAAATTACTCGGAGATCAAAAAACCGAGACTCTCCGCGGCGCAGCGGTCGAGCGAGAAGATAAAAAGGTGAGGAGGCGCCAGCGGCCGCGACGAGGGCATGGTGAAAGAGCGAGGCGAGCCGCGGGAAAGAGTTTCGCCTCCGGAAAAAGGGAAGGCAGACTTTTCGCGCGCGCGAGATGTGATTTAGATACGCGCGGCCCCGCCGGGATTCCACCACGGTGAGCTCGCCTCTGTTCGCGCTCTAACGGCGACCAAAGGGCGCGAGGAGGAGAAGGAGGAGGAAAGAGGAAGCGTAAGGGTCGAAGTGGCGAAGCGGAACTTGAACGAGAGCGGCTAGAAACGATAACATCTCTCGCTCTTTTGCGCGGGTCTTTCGGCCCGTGTGCCTCGGAGTCCGGTTCCGAACCGATAATTGTCGGTCTCGTCGGTCGTCGCCGAGGAAGCCGGGGGATCTCTAGCGGCGACAGAGCCCGGAGAGAATCCCGGGGTATCGTTTTTCACGCGAAAATCTCCCCGAGCTCTCGCCGAGTCGATCGCTCGCTCGCTCTCGCTCTCTCTCTCTCTCTCTCTCTCTCTCTCTCTCTCTCTCACTTTCTCGTCCATTCGCCGCACCATCAGGTCGCTTTCCGCTCTTCTTCTTCGTTCATTCGTCTTCCTCTGATCGTCCCTTTCCGTCCGTCATTGAATGCCTGGGCTCTCCCAATGGCGCTTTAAAGAGCGCTCTGGGAAGCGTCTTTACGACGACGAGCGTCGCGTCGCCGTCGTCGTCGTCGTCGACTCGACGAGCGCATCGCGCCCGTCGCTATACGCCCGAAACATTTTTGCCGCGAATAGTCTCGGCTATACAGCGATATACCCCGCACGGACCCTACGGAACACGCTCTCTCGGATCTACCGGATGTCTTTCAACCACCGGATCCTTTGACGAGGTCAGCGTTTTCTTAGCGGGAATTTGTATACCGAAAATAGTTTCTTCCCCCATCCTACGTAGAAAATAATATAAAAATTCTTCAACTCCCGAAAAAAGACGCTTAAATCGAAGCAGAAAAAAAGTGCTTTCTTCGCTTATCGCATATTGCGAGCGCAGCTGAATCCCTGGAACTCCCTCTTGTGAGACGGAATCTAAAATCTAATATCTACGTTATATAATGCATGTCAAGGAAAATGAAAGGACTGACATTTTTTGACTCGAGTGTCGCAACGTGATTTAATATTTCGAAAAAGGGCCTTCCGCAATCTAATAGATAAAATTAATCATTGCGACATTTTTATACGTTAGCAGCATCGTAGCGATTATTCAGCTCTCTCGTGAGGAAGCGATACGTCTCTTTCGTCCACTTTTTCCGTCTCAAACATGAATTGCTACGTACGTTTTCATTAAAACTGCATATGACGAATAAAAATCCGGCGGCGAAGTGAAAATGGATATCGAAGTATGGCCGACGGGCAATGGTCAGTAATCGCGGTAACGTTTTTCACGTGGAAATCATGGCGCGGTCGTCCGTCTACGATCGCTGGAGGATGTTCGCTGCCCGTCCGGAACGTTCCTCGCTCTCCCTCCCTCCCTCACGTCCTCCCGTTCGCCCGAGCTTTTTCTCGACCGTTTGCATTGGCTCGTTCCTTCAATGGCGTTTTCCAGGAGCGCTATCGAAATCCTCTTTACGAGGCGGCGCTTCTAGCCTCTGCGAATAGCTGATAATGGGCAACGCCGAAAGAGTTGCCTCAACGACTCGCCAAATCGAACGTTGAGCCTCGGTTGCGATGTACATCGACATTTTCGAACCGGAGCGATTAATGTCATTCTGTATTTCGAAGAGGCAGATCAGCGGCGGAGGCATTATTTTTCGCTTTTAATCGCGCGATATTGCCGCGCAGCTTTAATTTTAATATTACCGTCGGTGTACGGAATCCTCTTTGTCGAGAAAAAGTTTTTGCTTCGACGACTCGTCAAACATTAAGTCTCACAATCAGCCGTGATGTAGGTACATCGACATTTTCGAACCAAAGCGCACAGAGAAAAGATATTTTCATATATATATAATCTTCTTAGAATATTTTAGTTCTTGATTTGATTGATATGCAAGTATTACTTTACTTAATTCGACTAAAAATCTTCTATATGAAAATTATAATATTCTCTTGTTTATATAGATGAGAATAGTTGTCTTTATTTAAGATTAATTTTTTGTGTGTCGTTTTGTATTTCGAGGAGGCAATTAGCGGTGATTAAGAGGCACTACTTTTTTTACTTGCGCGATATTGCCACACGCTGCAGTTTTAACATTACTGTATTAGATATACAGGATTCACTTTGTCGAGAAAAAGTTGCTTCGACCATTCGCCAAATCGAACATTAATTAATAACATTAAGTCTCGGTCGCGATGTATATCAACATTTTCGAACCAAAGGAATTAATGCACAGAAAAAAGATATTTTCATATATATAAGCAAGAATATTGTATAATCTTCTTAGAAAATTTTAGTCTGCATTTGATTGAATTTGCATTGATACAAGCATTATTTTCAATTCAATACTAAAAATCTTTTACATGAAAATTATAATATTCTTGCTTATGTACAAGAATATTTATGTTTATTTAAGACTAGTTCTTTTTCTATATGTGTCATTCTGTGCTTCGAGGAGGAAAATCAGCTGTTAAAAGGCATTACTTTTTTTTTACTCACGCGATATTACCACACGGAAAGAACACTTTTGTTGAATCCAGATCTGAAAATAATTTTTGTTCAATAATCAAAATAATTTTGTGCGAAAGTCAAAATGATTGCTAACATATCAAGACGTTTTATAGCAATGCTTATCAGTTTTAACATTCCAACAAATTATTTTGATAATTTAATAAAAAAATTATTTTCAGATCTGTTTTTAGCAAAATTTTTAGATCTTTCAACAAAATCGTTCTTTCTGTGCACAACGCCACTTTAAGTTTTAATATTATTGGTGTATACAGTTCACTTTAAGAAAAAGTAAATAGAAAGTAGCAATTGCGATGCGAATTCAACGACGATATTACTCTATTTCCAATCGTTTGCTGCAGATATTGTAAAGTTTCCGTATAGTATCCGCAGCATGGAAGCTGTAGCGATTCGGAAGACTTTATCCGAGAGTCTCGCTCTCAAGCAGTAGTACCGTTAAGCGAGCGTCATTAAGAGCTTTCCCTTCGATTCTTTGTCTAGCGGACGGTTCCATCCGCGCGCGGAGTCGCTCTCGCAGAATAAAACTTTGGAACGTACATTGGGAGCTGAAGCTACGGCCGCCCCTGAGAGAGAGAGCGAGTCTAGCGTGTAAAACGCCTGAAACTTCGAAAGCGCACGCTTAGCGCTCGGAGCGTCAAACTCAAATTCATTTAATTTTGTTGCTCCAGACAGTTTAAACATAGGAGCGCGAGCGGTGTCAGGCCGCAACCGTGCTTCACCATTATCTTGTAACACGCTTCGAAACGCTAAATGCGCTTTCGAAGTTTCAAATGCTTTACACACGCTTTCTGCGCCCGTGCGCGCCGCCGCGCCGCTCCGAGGGAGCAGACGGCGGCGCTCTCTCTCTCTCTCTCTCTCTCTGCAGCAGATCTTAACACGTCGGGCGCCGTCGTTGACAATTTGCTATAGTTTCGCACACACGAAAACCTCGCCGTTATAGCGCCGCGCAGGGGATTAAAAGAACACGTTCTCCATGTAGCTAGATTTCGAGAGTTTCAGCCACTTGAATAGTCAATGAGGAAAAGTCAGCTCGAGATCGTTTAAGATATCCGTAAAGAGGCGGTTCGCCAGAAGCACGGAGAATTGTACACGTGAATTACGCGTTGCGAGTCGACAACGCGTAGATTTGACGCGAATACAGTGTTCCGCGAGGATTTTGATCGCAACATTCCAATATATCATCCGAGACAGCGTCGAAAGACCTGTTCCTGATTCTATACGTGGCGGTTTTCGCGCACTATAAGCCACGCGCGAACGGACGGACGGTTTTGCGGAGAACTTGCTCGAAACTAACTACCTAACTGTTTAGCTCCGAAGGTTTTACCCAAGATGGTAATTTCTCTTTCGCGCGTTTCCAGTGGAGGAGCTGGAATGCCTGGCCACCTGGAAGGAGGGCAGCAGCCGTTACTTAGTCGGCCGTCTGCATCACGGCCACGCGTCCAGCAACGAGGATCGATACCGGTGCTTCGTCTACGAGAAGGCAGGCCAGACGGTACAGAGTAACCTGAACAGGGCGGCCATGGGCATGGGCACCATGGACCACGAAGTCACCCTGCCGGGCGGCCCGGTGCCCGAGGGCTCCGCCGAGGTATACCGGGTGGCGCAGAGCGGCGACGCGACGTGCAACGGTCTGTTTAGTCCTATGGAGGGCTCCCGCACGATGACCCTGAGGAAGGGTGAGTAGTCTCGACGAGATACATTAACGGTCGAATTCTAATCTGTCATTCGGTTAGGTAATTTGGCCGTCAGACTACCGAAAATTAATCTTAAATCAAGACATAGATATTCTCATACATAGAATATGTATTATATACATATTCTATGTATTTTTGCTTGCAATAGGCAAGAATATTGTAATCTTCTTAGAAGATTTTAGCCTTGAATTAAATTTAAAAGTAATACTTGCATCAGTAAACATAAATATAAATATATAAATTCGATCAAATAAAGATTAAAATTTTTTAGAAGATTATAATATTCTTGCTTGTATGAGAATATCTCTATCTTGATTTATGACTTATTTTTTTCTGTAGTTCTGCAATTTTTGTACCCTGCGTTAGAAAATAGCTTATCGATATGATTGCGTATAATTTTACGCATTATTTTACTTACTTTTGCAAAATGTTAAAATTATTAGATCCTAAAATTAATACACCAGTAATTGATTTACTCTGTTAATTTCTTCTATCTAATATACCGCGTATAGGTATGACATCTCTTTAATTTCTCACTTTGAATCGATGATATGTAAGCGTTGAATTTCTCGTTTCATTCAGACAGCCACTATTTCTATATTGATGATCCGACAGACAGTATCGAGAAGTGTCGTATTGAAATCAATACACAAAATAGACATCCGATTTTCATTCAGCAAGCGTACCCCAAATTAAATCTGAATAGTAAAGTCACTATATATATTTTCTGAGTGAGTGAATTTTCTTATTTAATTTATCGTTCTCTAATTTTGGCGTCACATTAAAAACAGAAATGCGATAAATTGATGAAAGAAAATATAAAAATTTTGTCCACTTTTAGACAAATTAATGTAAAAACGGATGCGAATCGACAGACGAAGAAAATAGATCCATTTTATTATACATCAAGAGTATATCAAGAAGTGTCCATAGAAAGAACGATTTTGCTGAAGTATCTAAAAATTTAGATGTAGAAAATAATTTATAATTTTTATTTGAATCATTGAGATAATTAAGCAAAAAACTCAAGCATGATGAGCAGTGCTGCAAAAAGTTTTAACGTCCTAGCGACCAGCTTGAGTGCTACATAAATACCACCTACATAAATTATTTTAATAGTCCAACAAAATTATTTTTAGATCTGTATTTAGAGCTCAATTTTTAGACGCTTCAGCTAAATCGTTTCAGCTAAATTCTTTCCGCGTACGGATTATTTCTCTGTAGGAGTCGCCGCTATTTTATTTACGTTACCGCATTTGCTACAACACCTACACACATACACACACAACATGTAGGAGCTACAGTCCGCCGCCGTGGCTGCGCGGCCGCAATGAAGATTTTCGCGCGGTAACATAGATATTTCGCGGGTGGAAAAGTTATGGCAGTTAAAAAATGTTTAATTATCGTGAGATATTGCACGGTAATAAATCGTATCCGCGAATTGTATCCTCCCGTCCAGTTGTGTGTGATTCGCCGTCGTTAAAATTTTTCCATTTGTACCGCTCTCGTAGATTTTAATTATTACAGTGTAAATACGTGCTTGACGAGGATTCCCATCGGGACGTGGACGTTTCAATTTATCGTTATTTTCTATCTGGTCCGAATTTTTGAAATTTTTTCTGCACGACTCGCGGCGGGTCGTCGCTGCGTCGCGTTACATCTCTCCCCCCCTCCCTCCTCTCTCTCTTTCCCGCGCGATGCGTGTTTGCATAACGATCTCGCGCTTCCCGCGGGTAACGTCTTAAGTGAGATGTCCGCCAGCACTCAACAATATTAAATTACAACACGGAAAATGCGAGCCGGAATGCGGTGGCGGTATAACGTAAAGCGTATACTTTTAAAGAATTGCTAATCAACGTACGGGTTTTTCATTCCATGAATAAGAAGAGCGTGTTTACACGACGTCTGGCGGGGGAGGTCGCGCTCTACATCTCCCTCCCTCCCTCCCTCCCGCCCTGCCATCCTCCCCTTCCCCGCTCCCCGCTCGCGCATTTCCGTCTTACTCGCTTTTCATCTCGGGGGCTCGCAATCCCATTTCGCTCCGTTAATGGATTCATATATAATTACCAGGGCTTCACGCTCCCGCATTACGCTTGATAAATATCATCGCGAAAGGAAAGATATGAAATTCTCGGGCGATGAAAGCGGGCTTTAAAACTGTTGGGCCACGTCGATCGGCTCCTGCGCCCCATTCTCGCGCCTCACGTTTGGCCGTACGTTTCTTTTTTTTTTTTCTTCTTTTCGTTCCGCGATTTCCGACGCGCCAGGACGCGGCCTCGGGCCCCGCGCGCGCGCCGGAGAATAAATAACGTTGGATTAAACAACATCTCGTAATATCCGGCTACGCTCTGCTGCCCCCTCCCCCCCCCTCTCCTCCCGTAGTCTTTTGATCCGAAATGTACACGCGGATATTTCGCAGTCGTAAATATCCCCGGTGTTTTCTTAATTTCGCCGTTTGTACGTCCGCGGAAGGGTCAGCGACGCGCGCGCATGCGATACTCGGCGCCCGTAATGAATCGCGGCCGCGATGCTATCGCGATACCCGCCGAAATTATCGCGCGCGAGGACAAAAGCGGACCCGGTGATAAACAGGGTTCGGACGTTACCGTCGCCGCTTATATCTGAGGCGTGATCGTTAAAATCATGAGGGCGGGTAGCGCGCGCGCGCGCGCACGCACACCACCGCCGCGCGTACCACCGTCACGCGCGGCCGAGCAACGGCTATACAGCTATTTCCTATACCCGGTAAGCGCCACCGAAAAATAACCGATCCTCCATTGTTATTGTTGTGTAACAGCCAATCCCTCGTATACGCCGCGGTGCCTCTCGCGCGCGTGACGCGCGCAGTGCCCATTATCATGCCACGTGAGTTGACGTTTTGTTACGTTACGCTACCGTATTGTCGAATGGACAAGGGTAACATAGCCCCGATTATGCTAGATTTATTCGAGTGATACGAAAAAGGAGGCAATACGGATATGCGCATGTAAGTCCGTGTAACTTTAATTCATGTGAAATACGAATAATGATTTCCGTCGAACGCATATTTCGTATTTCGTTCCTTCTGAAAATTCAAAGATTTCGTGTCGCGCCCAAATATTGTATAACAATTTATATGTTCATACAACCTTGGCCACAAGCATAGTTTATTGTACTATTTATTGTGTATTTTTTTTTTTTTTTTTTTTGAAAAGGCGATAATAAATACCAAAAGAGGATTAACAAAGTATTAAAATTGTCATAAAAATAAATATTATTTTTCAATAAAGCTATTTTTCTCAATTTATTTTTCGCTAGAACGTTCACATCAATTTATGGGGGCGCGGTGCTTTATACTTATGGCCAAAAAGGCTCTCTGTAACAACTGGCGAAAAAAATACAGTGGCGCGGTAGCCACTAGGTCGCTCGCGAGCAAAATGGGAAGAATGGGAGAGTGGGCTGAAGGAGATCGATGGTAACGCTATTAATGCCATTACCTGCATGATAAAGCTCACGTGACGTGATAATGGGATCTCCCCCGCAAGCGATGACAAAAGCCCGATGATGAATCGCAAAGCCGGCCTCGTCTGTCTTTTTAGACTTGTTTCTCCGGCAAAACACGAAACGCTGCGCGCTCGCGCAAGGCACGCGCTAATCGAACGTGTCAACACGCGCCGCGCCGGGGTTCACCTCCTCGCGAGTAGAAGAAGAGCATATTTGCACGACTTTTCCGCGCTCGCGTTTTATTTTTCCCGCCCTTTAGTCCCACCTGCCGTCGCCCCCCCCCCTCTCCCTCTCTCCCCCGCGCCTGGCTGACGTCTCCATCCCTTACCGCCGTGTACTCTCTCGGAGTTTGCAAACCCGTATCTTGCCTCGCGCACAGTCTCACAACAAACTTCGTTAACGGATTTCACTCCGGTGGATTTTCGCGATCCTCCGGCGCATCTCTCCGCATCCGTTCTCCGCTCTCTTTCTCTCCCTCTTTCTCGCGGCCCCTTTGCCGCGCGCTCATCGCGCGCGCCACTCCAATTGCCACTTTCTTCGGCAAATCGTTTTAAGTCGAGTGGGAGTCACCGACACGCGCATAAAACTCGGCGAAGAAAAGAAGAGGAGAGAACGAGGAGAGCGGTGGAGAAGGGCCGGGACGGGGTAAGAGAGGAGGGAGGCTTGAGGACGCAGTCAGAGACAAGCCTTGGGGAGGGGGGGGGGGGACTTGGGGCTTGCGAGAGCCCCGCCGCCGTTAATATTACGATCCGCGTCTAGGAAAAAGCGCGCGCGCGCGCGAGGTAAAGGCGGAAGGGCAGCCAGGTGAAGGGACGCGGAAAAATGGATTAACATTGAACCTTTCCCGCTTTACCCGTCGCCGTTGCCCCCCGACCTATGGGCGCGCGCTCTCCTTTTGTTCCACTTCGCTCCCAGCTCGCGTACGTATCTCGCCCTCATCTTCCGACACTCCGCGAGCCCCTATTAACCGCGTCCGCAGCCTCGGTCGAGAGATCCGAAGTTTGTTCAATTAGCTCGGCATCTACTTCGCCAGAGTAAATATCTGGGGAAAACTGCGAGACTGCAACTTGAGATACTCGCCTCCGGAGCGTACCGAGTTGGAGGAAGAGTCAAGTAGTTAGGCGAACGGAAGGACAAATTGCTCCAATTACCCGATCGAAAAATTTCAGAGACAACGTTACGAATCATCGTGGAGGGTGGGGGAGCGCGTATCAATTTCCTTTTGCAGCTTTCGCGGATAGCGTTAATCGAAGCTTTATTAACGAGCCGTGAAAAGTGAAAAATTATTGACTCGCGTTATTACAGCTAATTCACAAGAGTTAGACAAGACGCGCACAATATTCAGATTTAAATTATTTTATTATAGTGTAAATAAAATTTGTTAAATTTATCTGCATATATCAGAGAAATTGGACGAACGTTAAAAATCATACAAATTCATAATCTCTCATTTATCAAAGTTTTGTATAGGTTATTTGAATAAAAAGTACACTGAAATGGAGAAGAGAAAATGTTGAATAATATGTAGTATATAGTCGCCAAATACTCGTAACACTTTTATCTTTCTGGAATACATAGAGATTCGAATAGAATTAAATGAAATTTGAAAAAAAATTATTATCCAATAAAAAAAACGTTGAAACGAAAACGAGTGTAGAAGATGTAAATGTTGAAAGAGAGGAAAAAAATTACGGAAAAGGTCAGAGGATCAGGTCGGAAGACACGGTGTGTTGTACAGTTCAATTTGCGATTATGCGATTTACGTATCGCTCTGCTCTATCTCGGATTATCATCGCGGCCGAATTGCTTTAACCCAATTCGGTTGTATCTACAAAAGAATATTGCGGGATAATACGAATGTCGGGCGTTTGTCAAACGCGATTGCCAGTAACGGTATAAATGTAATATTCGCACACGTCGAAATCGACGTAATTCCCCGCACGTGCGTGCGCGTACATCCACTCAATTATTAATTCGTATATAAATTCATAATCATGACATCACGCATATTCCACCGAATTACCATCGCTTTATCTGCATTACAATTACTTGTAATTCGCTCAAAATTGCACGTAGCTCGATTCAGAGCAGTTAAATTCATTCAGCACACTGGTCGCCCGCCGCGCCAACGTGCTCCACTGCCAATTTTGGAAACTTAATTTCAGTAAAAAAAAAAAGGAAGAAAAACAGCATTAAGCCCCATCTACATAAGTCGCAAACGCACAACGCAAACGCGGAGAGAAAAAAGAACGAAACGTCAAAAAAAAGAAAAGAAAGAGAGAAACGTCTGCGTTTGCGTTCGCGTTTTGCGTTTGCGACTTATGTAGATGGGATTTTAAATGCCAACGATTTCAACTACTTTTTAAACAATCGCAATTTTGGATTAAATGATCGGTATATATACATATATATATATATATATTTATTCATAAATTTTGAAAATATGCGCTCTCGCAATTTTACGTTATGGAAAGACGAATTAGTCGAGAGCTCGAAAACGAGTGATATTACGAAAAAAAAAAATTAAAAAAAAATAAAATTCCCGAAACGGCGAAAATAATAGCGCAAATGTAGGGCATTATTATTGCGTTATACGAGCTTACGTTTCGCTATATGATATTGTTAAAAGGGCAGCGCAGCTGGGCATTTTGTATGTTGTTTTCTGCAATTAATCTAAAAGGAACGAAAACTGGGACAATACGTAATTTGTATTTGTAGTATAAATCATTTGATGGGAATTTAAATGCGTTTCACTGAAAGAACGTAATATAGGTCACCGTGATATCGCGTAATATCGTACCTTTTGTTTTTTTGCGCGATACGCAATTTAAAAATTTCACGTCACGTCTCTTTCACTCTCGTGCGTGCCGTTAAATGAATAAATTACGCAGGTAATGGTTTATCTGACATCCAATGAAAAAAATACGGACCAATCAATAAATATCAATCGAATGAAATGAAAAAAATAAAAAAAATAAAAAAACAAGAAACGCATATTGAATCTACAAATCAATAACTTTATCAACGTTATTAATTCTAATATGACGTGGCACAGAAACGAAATAGCAGCGGTGATCTGCCGCAGCTATCTCGAGAGGAAACGGGCGAGAGAGCTCCGTTCGACTTTTACGACGGCGAAATTTGTGCCTCGGTCGTCTTGGAGCATCGCGAACGTATTTATCGAGCCGTGTCGTTGAATTATTTCCATTCATTGCCGCGCGGCGTGCAACAATACCTTTATATGCCATAAAACCGACCGTACCCGCCGCGCGCTCCGTTAACCCGCTCGGTCGACCTTTCGCCCTCGAACGTATCTCACCCGCCGCGAACCCATCCACTCGACGCGAATCGAGGTGACCTCTTCTGACGCTTCGGTTTTACGTCCCACTCGGACCGGAAGTGGAACGCTGGCGAACGTATGACACGGAGGACGGAGGGGGAGTTGTACTGGCGTATCGTCAGTAGTATATACGGTTCGCTATTGTGGGGGGAGGGTGATAGCGAAAATACGGACGAACGGGTGGGTGGAAAGGAGAGAGGCCCGGATAGGCGTATTCGTTGGACCGCGCGACATCCGATTCTGCCTCGCTGTCGGCGCGAGGGAAGTATCGACGTCGTCGGTTTATCGACTTCGTCGTTCCGCGCGCGCGATACGGCGGACTTTACGGTGAACGGCCGTCGGCGGAGTCGGTTCTGCGGAATTTTTTCGACGCGGTGCGCCGCGCGTGTCGACCGAGCGGCATCGGCCGTTCGACATAGCCCACCTGCACCAACGTCGACGTCGAAGCGGCGGCCTTTATACGAACGACGAGCCCTGTGTATACGTGACGGGACGCGTAACGATCGCCTGGAGAATCGTTCGTTTTACGAGAGTTGCGCGGAGAGAGAGAGAGAGAGAGAGAGAGAGAGAGACAGAGAAAGGTTCCAAGTAGAGCCGCCTTTGACCTAACACCCCGGTAGAATTCTCCGGTTTAACGAGGAAACGCGAGTTATCCAACGAGGAAATCTAATCACAGTTTTTCGTCAATACATTCGAATATAAGAATTTTTGTTCAACAAAACGCCTCGGTAAAAGTGTTTTGGCACAGATATTATCGATTCTAGAATCAATTTCGTCATCACAGATCATAGATCGAATCAAGAATGATAATGCATCTTGTATCTAAATATTCTCTACAGATAAGGAATTTGTTTCTCGATTTCTCGGTCTGATCTACTCGTTCGAAATGATGTGCGATTTCACGATGGCTATTTCTTACGTTTAATTAGGTGCGAAAGCGCGTCATTAAATGAACGTGGTGGCGTCTCTTATTTCAGTCTCGTCCCCGGGCGAATGTCGGTTCCCAAATTGGCTGACTGGACACTCGAGCGGCGGACTGACCTGGCACACTCTGGACCTCGGCAGATCCTACACGTTTCATCCGCGAAACGCGTCTCTGCACGTCACCAGAACGAACACGACTTCGTCGAGTTTCGAGAGCGGGTCCATAGACTCGCAATACGTGCCCGGGCCGGAGGATCAGGACGTGAAGATCCTTTGCAACAGCATAAAGCAGTCGAATGGCGCGCCGACCATGATAACGATGACGCTGGTGGCACACTTCACTGTCGGCTGGTAAGATCGTCTTAATTGCTTCTACGTGTCTCATTTATCCTATTTTTTATATTTAATTCTATACTTTTTATAAAGCATTTATATTGAGGAATTATTTACACGGAAAGTACGATTTTGTTCAAAGACCTAAAAATTTTGCTGAAAACAGATCTGAAAATAATTTTTTATTGAATCACCAAAATAATTTGTTGGAATGTTAAAACTGATAAGTATTGCTATAAAACGTTTTGATATTCTAGCAATCATCTTGACTTTCGCACAAAATAATTTTGATTATTGAACAAAAATTATTTTCAGATTGGATTCAGCAAAATCGTTCTTTCCGTGTAGTTTTCGTAAACTCTAAGAGCAAAAAAACTGAGGATGCGCTAATGATTTAGTGTTGTTGAAATTGTTATTCTTTAATCTTAAAAATACGCATGTAAGATACGTCACGTGAAGAGTCCCATGAACAATTAATTATTAAAAGATGAAAAGACGTTTCCATGAATAATTATTAAAAGATAAAAAGCACGGAAAAAAGATCTACGGGAGAATCCATTCGCGTTCATTCTGCACGTAATCACGATGTAATTCTAGTCCGCATCCGTAGATATCTGCTCATATAGATATTCACAGTACCTAGCCGCGTGATTAAAACGATGGAATGTGTCGCTCCGATCTTCGCGGATCTTCACGACCGCTTCTTTTTTTCCAGCCGGAGCGGTTTTATGTGCATGACGTTCTACCGGAGAGACGGCCACGTGATCGAGCTGCAAACGGGAAGCGCGGTATCTAGACCGGAAGAAGCATGCAGCCCGCCCCATTTTCTGCAGCACAGCACGCCTTTTCTCACCTTAGTCAGTGAGTACAATTCTTCTTCGTCCCGCGTACTTTGCGCTTTTCCATTTTCTGGTGGCGCGATGTGTCTCGCCAGAGACACACAAAGTTCCAGCGCACCGCCCCAAGTCTCGCGTTACCCGGAAACGCGCGATGCATCTTTCAGCGTTTTTCACGCGAGGGTATCGCGATTGTTCGCGATCCGCCCGAAATTATCTACGGCGGAAACTTCGCGACGTTATCTCTCTGACCGGAAGGTCCAAGCGATCTCCTAAGGCGGTCACATTTAGCGTACGAAACGATACCGGTCGCCGGCGTTACCAATTCCAAGACGAGATATTAACGAAGCGATTGCTAAGCTATCGGATTAACGTAACTCGATAAACCTTATCGTCGTACGAGGCCCCTCCTTCCCCCCTTCCCCCTCCCTCCCGCCTCGTAATCGTATCGATCGCGAAGCGCCTGTCCGATCGGGCGATCGGCGCAGCCGCTTGTTCCGCTTGATTTGCGTGGCCGTGGGGTCTTATCCGATCCACGTAAAGACGAGCCACCGCGGCGGGGAAAAGAAGGCGAAGGAGAGACCGATCGCGGCGGGCGGGGCGGGGCGGGACGGGTAAGGGGGAGGGGGTAGTGCGAGAGGAGAGGCAAGGAAAAAAAAAGAGGAGTTGCCAAGTAAAAACTACCCGCACCGTCGATAAACCCGAGAAAACTCCAACTTCGCGGGGAAAAAGTTTTTCGCGCGGCGTTGCACGAGGATTTAGTGCGCCGACACTAGGTTGGAGGCGGCTGGATCAGCCGGGAAAGAGGAAACGAGGATGGGGCCGGGAATGGACCGAGGGGAGGGGGGGGGAAGAAAAGAGAGGCGAGAAGAAGGGAAAAGAAAAGGAAAGAAAAAAGGGAAACGCGAGGAGAGAAAATCGGGAACTGCTCGGGCTCGGACGATTTGTCAAAATCCCGCGAACGGCTTATAAGTTACACACCGTCCGCGTATAGCTATCGTTTGACCGGTCTGGAACCCTCTCTCGGCGCTCTAAGTCATTTTCCTTTGTTGCTTATCGTCGTCACTCGCGTGCGATTATTCGCCGGCCGCGAGAGAGATCGGGGTCCGCCGCGAGGTGCGCGAGGCGAGGTGCCTCGAGAAATTCAATTTGCCAAGGGGGAACGCCTTGCGAGGCGCGTCACGGAAGCCCGTTTGAGCCCTGACAACCTCGTGATTGAACAGCGTATTTTCTTATCATTTAGCGGTAGGTGGTCCCTTCGGCCGGGCCGTTTGCCCGTTTGTGCCGGCGCGACCCGATTGCTCGCGCCCGAGGGGGCCCCGATATCGTGTCCGACATATAAAAAGCGACGGCAATTATTGCGACCGTCCCCGCAGCCGATTAATATTGTCTACGTGTCTACGAGTGAGGGTATCGGAGAGCTTGCGAATTCTCATTGTCTCTCTCTCTCTCTCTCTCTCTCTTTCCGTCTCTCCCTTTGCAGCTCGCAGAGACCACATCCTCCTTCTCTTCCTCCCCCTCCCGCGATTTAGCCGCTATATCGACTGATACGAATGCAGCACGCGCTGTTCTCTACATTCGGGTCGGAGCTCGACAAAATATCGTCGCCTCCGTTGTGCACCGCAAAGAAGAAAGCTGCCAACCTCTCTCCTCCCTTCCCCCCGTACGAGCGCGGACGACTCTCTTTCTGAACTCCGCGCGTTCTCTTCTTCTCTCTCCCATTTCGCTCTTTCTGCCTTCCCCCCTCCCCCCCCCCCGTCGTCTCACATCCCGCCGTCTCCTCGGGGAATACGATCGGCTCCCGTGGGCCAGAGTTTTATAATCCCACGGGAGTTATTGGATTCGGTTTGATCCACTGGTCGTTTGTCCCTCTTCCACCACACCGCCGCTCCCTCCTCTGTCCTCTCAGGTCCTCCTTTTCCTCCTTGCTTTATCCCTCGCTCTCCTTCGTATCGGAGAGCTCGATCCGTCGATTCGCGCGGAACAGAAAACTGCAATCCTGACTTCGAGGGGCCGCAATGGGGGGTTGTTAGGTGCGCGACCGCTCACGGCAACGAATTGGCGTATCGCATGACGGAAACGGCGCCGCCGCCGTTTGTCGGCGGTGCTAATAATACGCGAATAAGATAGCGGCGTTCCCGTTCCCGATAAGAATCACGATGAACCCGGTGATAATTGATGGGGAAACCCGGCGGCTTACTTGCGATTTCGAGCGCGATAAATGACGCGAAATAAATGCAATGGGATATAAATTATCGCTGCAAAAGTTAATAACGCGCATCAGGGTTATTGGATTCGAGATCATCGGGCGGTAATTAACGAGCTGTAATACTCTGTGCCGTGCGTTATCACGCGAGTGCGACGCGCGCGCGCGCGCGTGCGTGTGTGCGTGTGTAAAAATCGAATAAGCTTATTTGAATTATTGACGAATATCGGCCAATAATATAAAATTCATTTTCGATGTTCGAAAGCGATACATTGATTAATTTTTAACGTTAATATGAAATCTAATCGAGACCACGAAGGTTCGAGCTAAATAAATTTTTAGTCAGTAATGCCAAAATGCGGTCTGAATTTTGGGGCTTAATAATAATTCAGTTTGAAACTGAAGCGTTTCAGGACCGACAAATATTCGGCGCGCAGAGTACCTGAACTGGAAGACTTGTAAGATTCGCACAATTATTATTAAACACCAAGAGATTCCGTAATGCCAAATCTGCTTCAGTCCACATTTGGCATTACTAAAAATTTAATTAATTTTTAATATAATACGCGTTTGAGCTACATTCTACATTTAAAAAAAAGCTCTCTCCTTTCCTACTTTTTTTCTTCCTCTTCGTACGAATGATTAAAATACCGCTTCGCGTTAGATCTCACACTCACTTAATGTTTCAATAAAACTTCAAGATCGCTTTCCGGTCTCCTTCGCGAAAGCCGTATCCGTCGGAGATTGATTGAATTTTATTGATAATGGCTTTCGACGAAATTTACAGCGAATTATTTCCTAAAATTAAAGACGAGAGACGTTCGGATTCGTCTCGCCTGTCGGTATCTTTCACGATTCTTTCATAATTCAAGGGAAATATTGACTTCGATTTAATTCACCGCTCGTTCGCAGTTATCTCTCGTGGTTATCCTTCTCGCGACGGGAAGAAGCATCGAAAAGCTCAATCCGCCGCTTCTGCAAGAAGCAAGAAGCTATTCTCCGGACTGAGTCACGTACGGTACTCCGGGGAGAGCCGCGTTCTCTCCACGAGAACGAAGGATAGTATTTATCATTCCACGCACGCGGCGCACGAAATTTACAATTCAGATGTAAAAAGAAGCGGCCTCTGGAGTTTCGTATTAAAGATTGCAATCGCATAAACAATGACGCGGCGTAATATCACGATAATACATATAAACAGCAAACTAGCGCGAGAAACGCAAGAGAGAAGAGATAGGGATACTGAAAGACTGCCTCCCCCCTCTTTGCAAATTGTATTGCATTGTGCGTGTAATATAAGAAAAGTCTGGAAATTAATGCAGATCTAATCGTAAGACGCAACTCCCAAAGTGTTTCACAATGAAAAAGAATGAGTAATATGCTATTATTTTGTTATTAAATTAGGATTCATCTTGAAAAAAACATGCACGCATCATTAAAAATAATATAATATCTCTTTCTGACCGAAGTTTATTTCTGATAAAAAAAAATTAAAGCAAACTTTGCCATACACGGCCGAAAATTTCAACAGTAACAGCTGGCTTTCTGTGACATAACCACGTGTCCAATTAATTCTATATGTGCCCTCAAGAGTGAATTTGCTCTGTTTTATCGTTCAACAGTGAATGAACGGCGGGCGATCAGTGTATAAAAATTCATTTTGGCCCTCTTCGCCATGCAAGTCAATATGCGGAACGATTGATCATTCATTCACGAGCAAAAGCTCCTCTATCTTCTTTTTCGCTTCCCCCCTGCTCCCCCCCCCTTGCCACTCTCTGATCCAACCGAATCCTCCCCCGCTGCCATCCTGCCTTCATAAGCTATATAATGTCCAATGCCGCAATAAAGTAGACCATTTACGAGCTATCCGTCTTTTTTCTTACCTCGCGAGATTCTCATTCCATCTCCCTGCTCCCCGTCCTGTCCCTCCTCCCGAACGGGCTTTCCTCTAAACTTTTATGGCCACTCACGGAGAGAATAGAGAACGCGGCGGGGAACGGGCGATAGAGAAACCGGCGACGGCGACATTGGTATTCCGTTGACGTTCGCGAATTACACCCCGAAGATAGACTCGCCGGTGGCGCACATCGAGAAATTTTCACGAGACAGGGGACAGTACGAACTGAGGGGAGGCAGAACAACCGAGAGAGCCACGAATTGATCGCGCGAAGTCTGTCCGGATAAATGCTGGCGATACCAAGTGCCAAGCGGCGAGAAAATTACGGCAGAATCGGGAATTGAAGGTCTGTTTTTCTACGTGAAACAAAATAACTTTTGTGAAATGTAAAATTATGATTACAATTACAATTAATATGCCAACGGCATTTTTAATTATCTGAAAACAGCGAATTACTTTCCAAAAAAAAAAAAAAAAAATATTTCTGTAAAGTCCGAAAATTTTATGAAGTAAACAACGGTAAAATTCAGTTTACGTTAATCAGAATTGAAAAAAATAGTAATGTTATTCCGAAGAGATTTAAGGAGAATTACACAGCAGTACAATGATATTGATCACTTTTGATATGATGCCAAAGTATTTTTCTTCCGAATTTCCGTCACGCGATTGGTTTCGAGCATTCAATTACGTACTACGTGACCACGTTTGCTCGAATCTTAAGCTAACAATAAGTAAGTATAGATATATTCGATAAGCATAACGGTGCGAGATGCGTACGATCGTTGATATACTCACGGCAATGGAAAGATCGAGTAAATTGCAGCTTGCTAAGCGAGGAGGGAAAGCCACGATCGCCTTAAGATTCCAACGACGACGGCGGAAATTTCGGTTCCGCGTGGTAAATGGCCGGGGGAACCGAGTC